TCCCAAACCCCCCCCCCCCCCCCCACACACGAACACACAAACATAAACACATACACACAGATCATGTGTGTGTGTGTCTTGAACCCAGATATGTGCTTCAGATACACAGCGTCGTTGAGAGAGAGAGAGAGCCGCAAACTGAGCACAAGACAGAGACCAGAGAAGACGCCGAAATTCTTAAGCCCAGATCGTCTGGATTTGCCGAAGTTGAGAGATCGTTGCACAACGTCGTCTTGAACCAACATTGTTGGAGAGAGAGAGAGAGAGAGAGAAAGGAGATGGAGAAAAAAAAATAAACCCAGGTTGTTGCAGCGTTGTTGAAGTGAAGGGCTTTTATACTTCAAACAAAAAAAAATACATATTGTTGCTAAATACGTTTGATGGGTGGACCTCATTAAAGAGGAAGAGTTGTTTCGCTTGTTTTCTATTTTAGTTTGAAAACTCAGAAATTATCATTTTATTATTCCCTAAAATCACATCTCATTTCTTAAAATTTTCAAAAAATTGGAGAACAAAAAAACTAAACAAACAACATCTTCCTTATTTTTAGCGTTTCGAGAACAAAAAATTATTTTTGAAAATCAAACCAAACATGCCCGTAGTCTTTTTCCTAATAAAGTACCAAATTTGGATATTTCATTTTTTGTCTCGCTGGATTTGATCAAATTGAGTGTTTGAGCATATTTGATTTGAGGTAAAAATGGGTATCACAAGATCTATTGCTATGTTGCAATAAAATCTCCTCTTTCTGTCTCTCCATGGGTGGTGGTGATTTTTCTCACTTTCTGTGAATCTTTTTGGTTGTGTGTTGGTATGAGTGGGCATGCGTGAGTTTATGTAAGTGTGAAAATGGTTTATACGTATAGGATTTATAAGTGTCAAATTATTTTTTATAAGGACACATGTGATAAGAACATCTTAAAACTAAAATATATTTGTCAGTAAAATAATTCGTATCTAAGATGACTGATTATAAATAACCGTATTTATTCGAATTATCTTGTGCAATGCCCGCTTGATTTTGTTTTCTCCTTCGGATCTCACTTTTGTTGATTGTAGTCCCCCCTCAAGTGCCCGTCCTTGTGCCATTAGAAGCACTTACATTTTTCGCTACTTTTTCCTCTTGATTTGGGGTGCGACTTCCCTCTATCTCCAAGGTTTTTTGAATTGCTCCTTCTACGCCATTAACTCAATTCACTTTTGGCCACCAACCTTTCTACTTTACAATTATTTCCCGGCTTCTTGAATGTCTTAATCTCTCAAAGAACAGTTGTCATCTCATCAACATTAAGAGTATTTCTTTCAACTAAAAGTGTAGCCACAAATGCATCATAAGAATGGAAGGGAAGTCAAGAGAACAATAACCTTATCATCTTCTCCGACTGTCACCTCAATATTAATTAGTCGAGTAATAATTTTATTGCAAACATTGAAATGATCCAATAAATTTGGTTCTTCTTCCATCCGCAATTGATATAATTATTTTTTCATGAACAATTTATTTGTGAGTGATTTTGATATATATATTTTTTTTCTAACTTTTTCCACAATTCATAAGCAAATCTTTCAATTAGAAAACTATATTTTACCTCAAGTGCGAGACATGAGTAGATGATGCTCACGACCTTCATTTCAAGTTCATTCTAGTCTTCCTTTTGCATGGTTGCTGATTTTCTTTCGTACTATCGAGTGTTTTGACTAGCCCTTGTTGCATCAAAATATATTTCATCGTAATTTACCACAGCCTAATGTTATTTTTTCTATCTACGGGCTCCACCTCGAATTTACCCATCCAGATTCATTTTTCTGCCATCATACCTGGGTATAGGTAATTAAGAACAGCGAGTCTTGTTCTTAATTTCCAACTTTCTTGTGCCGAACTTGGATGTTCTGATACCACTTGATGGGAAATAAACTTGCAGCATATTGGTCAGTACGATGACAAGAAAAATAAATAAAATAATTAAATCAAAACACATAAAGAAAGACATCAATATTTTACATGGTTTGGTAGAAACTTCTGTCTATATTCCCGAGGCATAATCCGAATACTTTTTTACTATTGAGCAAAATTGAGTTTAATAATACAAACTTTACCGCTCAAATTTAATATCTCAAACTCAAGCTATTTTATATCCTTGTACCTCACTCAATTCTCACCACCGACAACCCACACCATCGCCAGATTTTCTTGTCAAATAGCGACACTTTGTTAAATTCAAGCCACTAAAGTTACTTTCCATCAATCTTTTCAACCTTAAATCTATTTTTTTTTTTGATTCTTTTCGGATTGAACAGTCCAAATTACGCCTTTACTTAAAGTCCTTAACTGGGCCTCATTGGGGTAGTTACATCAACCAATGCCAAGTTTC